TTTTTCTCCACCTGCATGGATTATGATCCACCTATTACCTTTCGAAACAGGTTCCAAATCACCATCTTCTTCAGGACCTTGCCAACATTTCCCAGTTGAGTGAGACGAGTAAATGTAAGTTTCGTCTAAATAAATAACAGGTCTTTTTTCACCACGCTCATTTTCTTTAATTTTTTGTAGGTAGGTTGCTCTCCATGCAACTACGTCGTTACGTTCGCACAACACTTTTCTATTTGATTTCGTTTTCTTATAACGAAATCCTATTTTGTGAAGCAATTTTCGAAGAGTTTCACGTTCTCCTTTGAAATCAATATCTTCCTTTAAAATACTCAGTAATTTGGGTATGGTAGGGATTTCTTTTTTCACTGAATAAAATTCGTGAATTTTTCTTCTTATAACACCAATGTCAAAATTATCAACTTCTTGCTTCCCGGTTTTTCTTTGCCTTTTTTTGCCAGGGGTAGAAATTTTAGAATTGGATTCTTCAGCGTGTTTCTCTTCATTTACGAGTTTGTGTACAAATCGCTCAGAAACACCTGTAACGAAACGACAAATAATTATTGTATAGGTAAAATTAAATAAATGTAAGCCCGTGTATATGCCGTCACTAAAGCTACTTCACAGACCACAAACTACAAAGCTAGGTACTTTAGACGAATTACAGTAAATTGAGATAATTTTTTTACTATGTTTTACAAGTACATTATTTGGTGATTTTAATTTTCCATATCTGGCAATACTAACCAGTCGCGGCAGCAACGCGCTCATACAGCTTTTCAAATGGTATAGTTGGGGCTTGTACACGTTTCTCTTCTTTCATAAAAGATAAAACTTTTAGGATAATCTGTCGCGCATCACTTTTAAGAGCTTTAGGCATTTTAATTGCACTTTTTAAAAACATTCACCTGATAGCTCAGAATAAATAATAACTGACAGCGAAATGTCATTTACAAAATGGCGGCATTAGTTCCAATTTTGTCCACCTGAACAGATAAGTTGGTGGCACTGTACAGTTGAAATTGGCCAAATCAACAAAACGGCAATGTCATACTTATATTTATCTATGATATAGGTATATAGATTAGATTCAGTTAGATTAAATACTGTAGTAGGATTATTTGTATATGTAATATAGTAATGTTACGTACCTATATACTAATGTATTAGACAATCATATGTTTCAAAACGGGCTAGGTCTACGTACACTACCACAAATACACTGAGAAATGTAGGTGGAATATCGGAAAATACATAATATAATTTGTATAAATGTGGGTATACATTTATACAAATTATATTATGTATTTTCCGATATTCCACTAGTGGCTTAAAATGATTTATTAATCAAAAGAAGGGCAACCAAAGTTTGATGTGAAATGTCAACTGTCTCTTGACACATACAAAGATTTCTAGTAATTATGTCTCAAATGTCATGATTAAATGACATAATGTTACCGCCATGATCTTTTTTGTTATGTATGGTAATTGTGTAGATTCTTGTATGAAACCAACCAAAAAACAATATTACAAAAATAGATACTTAGAAACTGTTCTATGTGTAATTGATTCTTTTTTTAATATAGTGTACTCATGAATATGTCCCCAAGGGGGACAACGCATCTACATTACGATTCTTAATTAAAGATGTTGGTGCCTATGGGCCAAGGCATCCACTTATGATTGTATGCTCGTTTGTCACCCAAATTCAATAAACAACAATAATAAAGTTTAATTCAATATATAAAAATAATTATGTAGCATTATCTTTATCATACATGTTTAATCCTAGTGTACAATAGTTGTAAATTCCAATTATTTAAGAGTGACTCCTTACTAAGCTCGGATGTTGCCTAATGAGTTGTTATAAATTAGAAACAAAATTTTTAATTAAGCTATAGTGAGCCGAGGTAGTTCAGAGGTACACGACTGCCTGGGTCCGATCCCCGCCGACACCAATGATATTGTTAATTACAATTTTAAGTGCTGATTTACCACATGCTGGCGGTGAGAGAAAAATACGTAAGGAATAGGCATCTAAACTAAATAGGTGTTTGTTTATTTGTAATCATATTTTAGTAGTAATAACTTAAAATAATAACTCTCACTTCAAAGCACGTTTTGCTCGGGGAATAAACTTGCTTTTGCATAGCTCTCAAAAGATTAGCATACAGTTTCTATACTGGTTCTATAATAAGTACATTTAGAACTTGCATATGTTCCTACACTCTTAATTACACTACACTCCTTTGACTTTATTTAAAACAGCTTCGTTAGCTTTCTGTACGTTATTTGTATTTTGACGGCATCTCTTATTAAACAACCGAATAGGAATTTATTCTATTATATTCCAAATTTGTCGCACAACCACAAAAACAATTTAACGACGTAAAAATTGGGTTTGATGTAGCCATAGTGCAACTACAGCATGGTTTTACTAATTATATTATTTTTTCTAAATATGAAAAAAATATTATTGAAAACTGTCTGCTGCCTTGCTTTCTGTATTGTTGTCAGACGTGGATTTACACACAGAAAAAGAAACAAAAAATAAGAGAGAACTATATTAAAAATCAGGAAAATACACAAAGTTAGATCAGAAATAATCAGAGAAAGAACAGAAAAGGTGTTTTAACACAAGCCTTAAAACTAAAATGGCAAATGACTGGCGGGTATATCTCGAGGTTCACAGACGATAGATGGACCATAAAAATAACATGTTGGAGAGGATCGTTAGCTAAAAGAAAAGTCGGCAAATCAATTAAACGGTGGGCTGATGATTTCGTTGCAAAGACAGGGCAAGACAAGATGGCCCTAAGCAAAGACAAATAATTAAGGAAGGATAAGGAGGTGGTCTTTACCCAAGCGGAAATCCATATTCCTGGAAAATATTTAACCAATCAAACATGAGACTAATAAGTTAAATAAACCACCACAACTAACAAACATTTAACGAACGTTAAATATTTTGATGTGGAAAGAAAATGCATATTTATTTATTTATTAATTGCTTCTGAATCCTGGACTTTAATTCTTCGATACCTTATGCAAGTTTAGTTTAATTAATTGTATGAACGCATTTTGTATGAACGAAAGAATATCACACATTCGAGGTTACTACTAGAATTTCGTCTAAATAGTTACATTTTAATTTACCCGTCCTATTTTTCCACCCTATGTGTTGGATTTTTTTCTTTATATTTATATGGGAACATATATCATTTTTAATATAAGAATCATTTAGTAGTTTCCAAGAAAAATCGGTGAACATGCGTAAAAACATGCGTGTTGAATATAGAATATTCTCGTTTTTTGAACTCAGTAAATAATAGTATTGTTACGAGCTTGGGGTTCGAGACTATTAAAAACTGCCGATTGAATTACCAAAATTGACACTTTAATTACACAACACTAATTACAATCTAAAATCACACTAATAATAAAACACAGTTTGCCGTTATTTGGCTTCGAAAGTCGTGGTCTATACCGGCCTTATATAGGGCCTTAGATAGTTTCCAGAACCTTCTACTGTAGCGACATCAAGAATGTTCGAGTACATATCGGTACCGAAATTTCTGGAAGGATCTCGACTCTCCTAGTTCTGCTACTCGACACTAGAGGGCGCTAGTGTAACTAGTGTTGCCATGTACAAGACATTAATAGTGGCGCGCAACACTGCCTCCTTCTAAGACATGCTCGTCCCGAGCATTATTGGCCCCATAATAATGCGCCAGTCGATCCACATGGACAATCTTAGGAGTACCTCTGGCACCTTTCTGTATCCGGTAGGTTACATCATTGATCCTTGTCACAATCCGGTACGGTCCGTCCCATTTAGCTTGAAGCTTAGGAGATTTCCCTTTGCTGCGAACTGGATTGTATAACCACACTAGTGAACCTTCATCAAACCCCTTGTTGTTCATTTTGCGGTCATACCGTGTTTTCATCTTCTCAGACGTTTGCTGGCCCGTCTGTCTGACGTGCTCATAAATGTCATTCATTTTGTTTCGCAAGTCATTTGCATAATCGGTTATACTGCGTCGGGCATCAGGTGGTATTCCGGCGATCAGGTCTGCAGGCAGCCGTAATTCTCTCGCAAAGTTTGCGAAAGCTGGCGTCACTGATGTACTTTCGTGAACAGCGCTTCGATATGACAACAAAAACGGTTGTATGTGCCTGTCCCAGTCTCGGTGCCGTTTTTACACAACTTTTGCCAGGTACCTTTCCAATGTCTGATTAAATCGTTCTACCATTCCATCAGATTGTGGGTGGTAAGAAGTTGTTCGTGTTTTATGAGTACCCATAACTCTGCAAGTTTCTTGGAATATTTGAGACTCGAAATTCCTTCCTTGATCACTGTGAATCTCTAAGGGTACTCCAAAACGACAGAAGACTTCATGAACTAGTTTATCTGCAACTGTTGAAGCTTCTGTACTTGGAATGGCGAAGACTTCTGGCCACTTAGTGAAGTAATCCATCACAACCATGAAATACTTGTTACCACTTTCACTTTCCGGAAACGGCCCCGCAACGTCAATGGCTATCCTCTCCCATGGTGCACCAACATTGTACAATTTCAACGCGCCTCTACTACGAATTCGAGGTCCCTTTACAGCCGTGCAACTTTTACATTTGCGGCACCAGTCCTCGACATCGTCACGACAGTGGACCCAGTAAAACCGTTCTCGGATCTTCAGTAGATATCGTTTAACTCCCAGGTGGCCTCCTAAACAACCACTATAGTACAGCTGTAGAACATCCGGTACTTTAGCCTTAGGGACAACCATTTGCAAATAACAACTGTCTCCCCGACCATTTTCCCATTTATGGCACAGGTATCCGTCCTGAATCAGCAAGCTGTCCCATTGGGCCCAATAGCTTTTCGTGGTCGAACTCATTGCTGAGACGTCGCTCCACTTGGGCTTAGGAGCACTGGCCTTCATCCATTCCAGAATCGGCTTAATGTCCGAATCTTCATGCTGTGCATGTTGTAGGCTGTCCTTCTACTCATTGCTGAGCTGGTCTGTCCTGAGCATCCTCACAGATACCACTTCCTTACCCTCTTGCCTAGTACAATGCTTGCAATCTTCAGGGCAAGGTCTTCTTGACAATGCATCTGCATTGCCATGAGATTTCCCACTGCGATGTTCGATCACAAAGTCGTATTCCTGCAGTAGTTCCATCAATATCGCAACTTGTCCTTCCGGATTTTTGAACTGCAATAGCCACTTCAGTGCAGCATGGTCAGTTTGTAAGTGGAATTTCCGCCCTAGAAGATATTTGCTAAAATGCTGCAAGGACTTTACCACAGCAAGCAATTCCCGTCTTGTGACACAATAGTTCCTTTCCAGCTTTGACAACGACTTGCTGAAGTACGCTATCACAATCTCTTGATCACCATTCCGTTGAGACAACACAACGCCAAGTCCTATATCACTTGCGTCTGTGTCAACTATGAATTCCTTGCCCGCATCAGGGTACCCCCAAAATAGGTGTTTTGCACAGACGGTTCTTGAGCTCCTGGAATGCAATATCGCAACTTTCATCCCAGCAGAAATGTCGCTTCTCCTCGGTTAGCTTGTGCAGAGGTTTGGCTATATCTGCAAAAATGCTCTAACCTGAGTCTTGTCTTTTGGGACCGGCCACTCCTTGACAGCAGCAATTTTCTCTGGATCCGTGCGGATACCTTCTTCCGACGCTACATACCCCAAAAACTAACTTGCCGTTTGAATAGTGAGCACTTCTTCGGACTCAACTTAAGGTTGGCACTCTGGATCTTCATAAGCACGCGTTCCAGGTTTTGAAGGTGTTCCTCAAACGTACGGCCTACGATGATGATGTCATCCAAATAGACCAGACAGGCATCTCCAATTAGCCCGGTAAATACAAGCTCCATCAACCTTTCAAACGTTGCTGGAGCATTGCACAATCCAAACGGCATGACTTTAAATCGCCACAGACCCTATCCTGTGGAGAATGCAGTTTTCTCCTTGTCCTTAGGGTCAATTTCAAGCCAGTAGCCACTTTTCAGGTCCAGCGTACTAAATCAATTTACGCTTGTAAGCATGTCCAACGTGTCATCAATTCTTGGCAAGGGATAACTGTCCTTCTTCGTAACGTCATTCAGGCGGCGGTAGTCAACAAAAAACCGCATGCTGCCGTCCTTCTTCTTTACCAGCACCACAGGTGAACACCATGGACTAGATGAAGGTTCAATAACACCATCCTTCACCATTCCCTCAATCATGGTTTCCACTTCCTTTTCACGTGCTACAGGCAATCTTCTTGGCCGCTGACGAATAGGCAATTCTTGTCCTGTGTTTATTTTGTGTTGAACTAAGCCAGTCTTTCCTATGTCAGCTTCGTTTGACGAGAAAACATTGGCGTACTTGAGTAACAACTTCTTCGCCTTGACCATTTCATTCGGGGAGAGAACGCTGCGACAGTCTTCTGAAAGTGTGGTTACTCTCGTTTGTCCATCCTTGCTGGGGGTCCCAGTCGATAGATATTCGCACCGACGCAACCAATCCACTTCCTCACTAGTACCAACCAATGTGCCTTTTGCTATAATCTGTTCCTGATCACACACGTACTCCTGAGATATCGGTAGTTCTGACCAAGGTTCGAGCCACTTTCCATGGAAGGTCATTGTCTACTCTAGTAGTAAACAACGATAAGCTTGCCCAGGACTCCGAGGAAGACTAACCGGCACTATCGTTTCCGATCTCACATTTCAAAACACCTTGCTTAACGTCGATCTCACAACAATTCTTCCTCATAAAGTCTAGGCCCAGGATACAGTCGTCCATTATATCAGCCATGATGACATTATGCAGATAGATCATGTTGCCTAGCTTCAACTCCATTTTCTTCTCTCCACGGACGGGTATGCGCTGACCGGTGGCTGTCACCAAATTAATGCGTTCTCGGTTGTATGCGGAGACCCAAGGAACCGACTTATAAGTTGGGAACTGACAACTGTGCGAGAGGCTCCAGTGTCTATGGTCAGTTTACACGGCGTTCCGTTGACTTCGCCCTTGATGATTAGGCTGTTCCCATCATGGGTGTGTGAGATCGAAATTCTTGGGGCTCTTTTAACGTCAGCCAGTACCCGCCCCACAGTCCTGGCTTTTACTCGTTTCCCTGCTGCTGCTGGGCGGTGCTATTAGCCGCACTACCCTCTTGAGATCGATCACCTTCCCATTCTACAGTTCGCTTAGGGCAGCTGGATCGAAGATGGCCCCTTTCCCCACAGCCGTAGCACCTAGGGCTGTAGCTTTTATTGAGTTTCTTAACTGTAACTGCTGCAACCTCCCTGACGCGGTGGGAACGATGATCCTGCCGCACCGCTTCCACCTCCAGTGCATGGATCAAGGCGTCCTTAAGCGTCTCGTGGTGCCCGAGCCTCACAGCAGCTCTGACTTCAAGGTTGCGGATGCCGTCGATGAATGTCTGCACCAGGTTCCCTACAATGAGCGCAGGTACAAACTGGTACGCTTTTCGAACCAGCTTCTCCACCTCAAGGGCCCACTGCTGCAGGTTTTCGTTACTGCGTTGCACGCGATCTTTGAGCTGCGCACGAAAGACGTGTTCCAGGTGAGCGTCGCCATATCTCGCCTCCAATGCCTCAAGGAGCTGCTCGTAAGTCACTTCCTTACCGAGAGCTTCCAGAACAGTTAAGGCCTGGTCGCGTAGGCCTAGGGTGAGAGCAGTCATGGCCTGACTTTTATTCCAGCCGTTCGCTTTCATTAGAGCCTCGAACTGGATTTTGTAGGCCGACCAGGAAGAAGTCCCGTCGAACGGTGTCACTTTGAATCCACGTAGCGAAGGTGTTGTAGCTACCACGGGAGCTGTAACTCCATCCCCAATTTTGAGGTCGTTCAGCGTTTTCTTCACGTCAACCATCACGTTGTCAACCCGATTGTTCACTTGGTCGATTCGAGTTTCAGCTTCCGACAGGCGGTTGTCATGTTGAGCAACCCTATCCTTCACCTCCCTTATCTCTTTCCCGAAGGTAGCATGAAGGTCCTTCATGAGAAGAAGCTGCTCTTCCAACCAACGGCCCTGTTCCTCCTGTTGGCGGGCCTGTTCCTTCTACCCGCGCTGCAGCTGCTCTTCCCACCGACGGCCCTGTTCCTCCTGTCGGCGGGCCTGTTTACTCGTGTCGGCGAGCCTGATCCTGCAACATAATCATCAGAGCACCTAAGTCAGGTGCTGCAGATGCAGGAGCTGCTGACGAGCAGGCCTCCGTGGTCAGCATCTGGCCCTCCGACGTTTGCGGCGTTGCATTACCAAATCGTCTCTGGTCCGCCTCCAGCTGGCGTTGGCTTCGGGTACGCATACCCTCCATGTCGTCCTTTGGTAAAATCGGCATGATTTGATCCCACTTCTGACACTAATTGTTACGAGCTTAGGGTTCGAGACAATTAAAAACTGCCGATTGAATTACCAAAATTGACACTTTAATTACACAACACTAATTACAATCTAAAATCACACTAATAATAAAACACAGTTCGCCGTTATTTCGCCTCGAAGTATTCTCTTGTATCGCCAATTCAATACTGCCCCGGTCGTGGTCTATACCGGCCTTATATAGGATATCTCAGATAGTTTCCAGAACCTTCTACTGTAGCGACATCTAGAATGTTCGAGTACATATCAGTCCCGAAATTTCTGGAAGGATCTCGACTCTCCTAGTTCTGCTACTCGACACTAGAGGGCGCTAGTGTAACTAGTGTTGCCATGTACAAGACATTAATAGTGGCGCGCAACACTTTCTTTTACTCGACACTAGAGGGCGCTAGTGTAACTAGTGTTGCCATGTACAAGACATTAATAGTGGCACGCAACAGTATTAACCAAATCAAGAACCACGCGAAGAGATTTTTTTTTGTATGTTAAACCAAGTTTTTTCTAATTATAAAGAGATATAATATAACAGATATTTCACGTTCTATAGAAACCACTAGCAGTAAATTATTTAATTGTTTATTGATTTGTTAGTTCAAGCGTACCTAATTATTTCCTGAGAGATGATTTTTAAATTTTAGCTTACGGAAGTACATATATGTAAGAACATTTCTATTTTTTACTTACTTGCGATGTCCCTTGCAACTTTTAGCAATTTTAGCAAATTACGTTGGCTTTTGAACAACATGATAATATTACTTTTAAGCCAAATCGCAATGAAGTCCACATAACGTGTTAACAAATTACTTACTTTCTGTATATTTGTAGTATGATAGCTACTATAACATTATAAAATTTTTCTTTTTCCAAATGTTATATATGTAGGAAGTATAGTGGGTTATAGTACAGAGACTGATTTTGTAGTTAGGAATAATAATTAATTCGTTTACACGAATTAATTATCCAACGAGTCGAGGATAAACTAGTAACGGAATACGACAAGCGCACCGTTCCACGTCAGAGCCAAGACTGTCTTAACGACGGCCGCTCAGTCCGTTTTATACAAGCAGGACGGGTGGCAACGCAGGTGCAATGCCACAGGTGTGCGGTACACGTGTCGTTTACAAGAATTCTGTCTAGCTAGACCGACGCCACCGCATCTACAACGATGCAGGTGCCGCCACGGCCATACTGACATGCGTGCGTCCTCGCACGCGCTCCATCACAATTTTAGTTATCTGTAACAACTGTAATCTGTAAAACGTCGTTCGATTATCCTGACATAACAGCGTCTGGTCCGGTCTATACTGACCCTTCAGACTCGGGTGATAATCAGTTTTGTTCCAGCAGTAAGCCCTACAAAACTTTTATCACCTTTATGCTAGATCGGAATGATTAGTCTGTAGCTTTTTCTATTTTCTCTTTTTTTTTCAAGTACTGTTTTCGCTAGTCCGGAATCACTATTCCCTATAGCTATATCAATGGACCGGCACAAAGCCCTGCAATGATTGTAAGAACTATTCTTTTTTCTTAACCTCTTTTTTTCAGTACTATTTATGCTAGTCCGGAATCACTATTCCCTGTAGCTATATCATTGGACCGGCAAACGCCCTGCAATGATAGTAAGAACCACATTTTTTTTCTTACTCTCTTTTTTTTTCAATACAGTATAGAACAGTTACAGACCAACCATACCGCAAACATGTCCCCGTTACAATCACACAAAAGTGTATCGTGAGGGACGTAGTGACACGATAACACCTAAGTATGTAAACCAACAGCAACTCGACACATATCCCAGTGCAGCACAGACCAGCCTCCCTGCAACTTCATGTTCCTTTCCTGCACTAGAATAATTACTTCGCCAGAGTGTTGCAACGTCTCTAGTATTTTCTAGATGCACAAACACGGCTACCTCTGACTGTCGCACGTCCTCGTGCGGTTGACAGTAAGCAGCATACGGTCTATCAGTTATCACCACCTGCTAACAGATATTAACTCTTGTTAAATATTACAATGGTCGACCATCCCAGACTTCATTTAAATCATGAAGGCGCCGATATGGCTACCTCCAGGCAAACGCACTCCAGCTTTCCGTTCTGCTGCGTCCGTGCCACATTCGCGCCAGCGAGTC